GAGAGGAAGAGGAAGCGTGGGCACGACAAAGAAGAGAGGAAGAGCAAGACCATACGCGGGGGAGGGCTTCGCCGGCGGAGCTGGCCAGCAATGGCACGTCGATCGAGCGATTGTGTGTGCAACGCTCTCCCATGAGGAGGATGGGATAAGGAGGAAAGGGAGCGCGGATGGTGGTGGTGAAGGAAAGAGAGAAGGGCTAAACGACATTAGCCCTCGTCATTTCTTTGCCACGTCGAATTCGCGGTCAAGCAATCTTTAGTGCATCTTGTCATGGATTACCACTGTGATGGGTGAAATTTACTAATAAAACGTAAAATGGCGGTTTTTTGTTAATGATGTCAGAAATGTGGTGGTTCTGTGCTTTTCACTATGCACATAAACATTCCCGGTGACATATTATTAGAGAGTAGGTTCGTGTTGGAATAACAGTTCCGGGAAGTGTCAATCAAAAGAAAAGATAAAACGCTGGTATCCATGCGTGTGCGCGCTCTCCTCTCTCTATATATATCCCTCAAAGAATCATCAGAGCACCCGCCGGTATTTCCATCCCCTGCCGGCGCTGGAATTTCCATCCACGGCGAGGAGAGATTGAGAATCTTGGCCGCGGATCAGAGCCTGCCGCCGTGCGCCGGGCCCAACCTCCCGCCAGAGCCAGCAAGAAGCGCCTGGACCGCGAGTTCTTGGCCGGCATGGAATCGACGACGTCGTCGGCAGGGCCCGCCACAGGCGTCAACTCGCTGGACGAGGCCGTCGCCGGGGACCGCAGGCCGCGAGGGGAGGATCTTGGCCGCGAGGGGACGATGTTGGCCGCGCTCCGCCAGGTCCAGTCTCCAGCGGCCAGAGCAAGCAAGAAGCGCAAGAATCGCAAGAAGCGTGAGGAGGCCTGCACTTCGTCAGCGGCGGCATGGCCCGCCACGGACCGCCACTCGTGGGGCTCGATCGCCGTCGTCAACCCCAGGCTGCAGGACGTGCTGAGCCACCCGGGCGCCTCCGCCCCGGAGCGCATCTACGGGAGGCGGCTGACGAGGACGGACCGGAAGCTCCACCACAACCGGCTACTCATGTCGTGCAAGATCTGGCGGGCGCGGGGCGAGACGTTCCCGCTGGAGCGTGTCCTGACGGACGCGGAGCAGGCGGCCGTGGAGGTGGCGAAGGGCCTGCAGGTGCAGGCCTACGACCGCCGCGGCAGGCACTACGACCTCGTCTGCAAGAAGCTGCGCTCCAACAACGCCTACCGCCTCGTCCGCAGCTGGGGCACCTTCCTGAGAGCGAACCGCCTCGTCGTGGGGAAGAACGACGGGGCCGAGGTCCTGGAGCCGGTCATCAGGTTCGATCTGCGGACGTTCCGCTCGCCGGCGCTCAAGATGGGCGTCGACGGACAGCAGGGCGGCCCGCTCGGGCTCCTCATCATGCACTACCCCGAGGGAGACGAGCCGGCCACGCACGCCGAGGCGAGCATCGCGGAGATCCTGGCGGCGGCGGAGAACGCACTGGCCGTGCCATTGCCGGGCGTGGCCGCCGCGGTGCCCGTCCTGGAGGACGCCGTTGATGCCCCACACGAGGAGGACGCCGTTGATGCCCCACACGAGGAGGACGCCGTTGATGCCCCAGAGGAGGAGAACGCGGTGGAGGCTGATGATGGCGGCCGGTGAGCCGGACGAGAGGCTGCCCCGGCCAGGGGATGCCGATGCTGAGTGAGAGTAGCCCCCCATGAGTTCAGTGTAGATCGATCGATTTCCAGGCGAGATTGATTCTTGGCACGACACAAGAAACATTATTTGGCATCTTGGTTTGTTTTCTTTATGTTTTGGCTATAAAAAAGACTCTTAATTGGAATGCAATTTAGCAGGCCTATCTCCATGAGTTTCTTCAGTGCAGATCGATTGACTCGTTCTGTTTTCAGTTAGTGCTATGTAAAGCATGTTTTATCCTTGGAACGACAAGGAAGAAACATTGGCATTCTGATTTGGTTTCTTTGTTTTCGGAACAAGACTTATAATTGGGATGCAATTTAGTAATGGATTCATTTCAGCACTTTTTAGTGATCCATACCTTATGATGAAAAGACAACTAAACATGACCAATAACTCAGAATTGCTCTTTTACTCTATCTACCTTTGGAATCAACAATGATATCTTCGAAACAAACTTTTTAGATGATTTCTCGCGCTATTTGTAGCAGCAAACTGTGTGTGAGAAAACCATTTTCCGTTTTATTACAGAACCTTGATGTGATTATCTTCAGGCTAGAGGAGGCGCGCTCAACACATGCGATGCAAATTGAAAGTTTGTTACAAAGTACTCCCTCCGTCCCTAAATACTTGTCTTTCTAGGCATTTCAACAAGTGACTACATACGGAGCAAAATGAGTGAATCTACACTCTAAAATATGTCTACATACATCCGTATGTAGTAGTCATTTGAAATGTCTAGAAAGACAAATATTTAGGAACGGAGGGAGTAGTAGTATAAGTTAAGCAATCACACGACCCCATGGCCGTATGCAAGAATTTGCAAAACTTTTGTACTACTCCCTCCGTCCCAAAATAAGCGTCTTGACCTTATTACAACTTTGTACTCGAGTTAATATAAAGTTAAGACACTTATTTTGAGACGGATATAGTATTTCATTAAGGACGCCAATCCTATAGGGGGTAATCACTAGATAATGAATAAGTCTATATGTTCCAATCCAAATTTGTACACTACTTGCTTTATATTGTGATAAAATGATTACATGAATGTAATTCTAAGCTAAAGTCTAGATCTATATAATTATGTGGCACACCTGACAGCTCTGCATAGCAGAGTGAACAAACCAAGCAATTGCAATTTAACATGGTCCGCCCGCAAGTAACTAATCAGCAGAATGAATTCACAAGGCAGACAATGAATTTGGCAAAAATATGCAACACCTTTTCCGATGTGCTGCCATTCTGTAGGTACCCCCAGCGTGCACACAGTGAAGATCCTATTATCACATACACAGGAGCAAAACCTCTTGTCGGAAGTGTCCAAGTTTTTGCAAAACCTTTGTATCACTTTATTACGGGAACTAATCCTGCATGAGGCTATACCAGGATGATCTAATTCAGGGAAAATCAATTGTGATTTGTTATTGCAGTACGGTCGTATCACCACTATGTAGAGTGGACTCTATGGGACACGGACGTTTGGTCTATGGGTACATATGTACCATATATGAAAAAATAGTAATTCAATAAAAAGTCAAAAATTTCTAAAAATATTTTTGAAATAAACTTGACCTTCCATTGTATTCGTGAGAAAAGTTCCACAAAAAAATTCCTCTTTAACTTCTTCTCAAAAAAGATAAATTTTTGACCAAAATAGCGTGAATAGTGACCTATAATAGCAAATAGATTTTGTCTTTTTCGCTGTGAAGTCAACGTTGGTTTTTTTCCTTGTGAAAATTTATATACTAGCGGGCAAGAAAGTCAAGTATTGTAAAAATAGTTTCTAACTATTTTGACTTTTTGTTTAATTACTTAAAAAAAATCCCCATATAAGGTGTATATATAACCAGGAACCAAAGTATATTTCCCGGACTCTATGTGGTTTTAATAAGTACCTTTTATTAGAGATGTACCAGCTTTTATTGTCAGTGTGTATATGCATGGTTGTAATAAATGTACTTCTTTGCCATCTTGAACTTTCATATATATTGATATGCCCTTCTTTACATAATAGTGAAAGATACACATAAAGCTACCATGCATATTCTGTTTAACTCATAATTGTTTATAGTTCTATCATTTCAACTACGGTCTACATGGTTGCGACGTGGCGTGCCGCCCCGCTAGCTAAGCTTGGAGCAAAATGAGTGAATCTATACTCTAAAATATGTCTATATACATCCGTACGTAGTAATCCATTTGAAATCTTTAGAAAGACAAATATTTAGAAACGAAGGAAGTATGTTTCATCTGGGTCCTGGATCCGCCACTGCAAAGGGCAATGGAAAATTCAGAAACTTGCAGGCTGTTTGTAGAGAAAAATGGAGGTCTACAGACTGTTGACACTCTTGCCTATTGCTTTGCACATCACTATGGGTATTTAAGGGCTTTACTCAACAGCATTCCACTCCACTTGCGCGTGTATTTTGCTCCTAGCACTTGAAGAATGCCCTACAGGAACTTGATACGGTAAGTGACTAAGTTGGAAAAAGGAGCCATTCCATCACTTATTGTCGGCATCGAAAGACAGCCGCTGGATGAACGCTCTGCTCTCAGAATTTGGAGATGTCAACAGGGATTTCCTGGAAGATATTAGAAGAGTTCCCCGGGAAGTGCTTTGGCAACTTTCACTTTTTGATGAGAAGAAAATAGAGCCTGAAGCTATGGTGGCACAGATTTTGCTGGTAACCAAACAAAGCAAAAGCTCTACAAAATTTAAGTACCAAACTCTCATCCCATCCTTACAAACAAAATCCACATGTGTACAAAAGCAATGTCATTCACACTGACACAAAACTACTACGAGTACTTCAAAGACCATACGAATAAGACACCCAGCAGTAAATCTGTATGTGCTAGTAGGCAGTAACAAACTTTTGATTTGAGAAACGAAGACAGCAACTAATTACTAGGCCTAGGTGTTGCCCACTCAACATGGAGGATGAGGTTATCATAACCATAGCCATTGAGCTTGCTGATGGCCTTCTCAGCATCCTCCCTCTGGACAAAGTTGACGAAGCCAAAGCCCCTGCTTGATCCAGTCCTCTGATCCAGCGCAACATAGACTCGGCTAACAGGGCCAAACGCACGGAACAGCTCGAGGAGGTCAGGCTCACGGGTGTCCTCGGATAAATTGGTAACGCGGACAGAGTTCTCATCGTTCCTGCGCCTCATGTCGTGCCCACCATCTTGATAAACAGCATCCTTCCTTAGCCTCCGAGGAACATACGAGCTCTTGGCAGGATCATTCAGTGCCGCAGGTCCGTCAGAAGTAGGAGGCCTGTCCAGAGTATCGACGAGATCCTTGTAGGGGCACTTTGCGGTCCAGTGGTCACCCTTCTTGCCACAGGATCTGCAGACCATGAGAGCGGTACCTTTGTTTGCCGTCGCCAGTTCATCACTGGAAGCACTTGGTTCATCAGCCTTGCTCCCTATAATCAAGTGAAAAGTTAGCAAATAAGATGGGACATGTCTAGGTACTTCAGAACCACAATAAGGATGGACCAACAGCAGTGTTCATGCTAGAGCGTGAGCAATGGCTTATAAGATGGGGACATGTTTAGGGACTTCAGAACCACAATTCATGCTAGAGCGTGAGCAATGGCCTATAAGATGGGGACATGTTTAGGGACTTCAGAACCACAATAAGGATGGATCAATAGCAGTGTTCATGCTAGAGCGTGAGCAATGGCTAAATAGACAAGTTACATTAGTGTGGATTATGGAAGGAAATTTAACATGGCGCCGATCAGCCAAGAAACAGCTTTGAGGAACCTCTAAGCTACTCCGTAAGACCATAACCGATAGTGCATCACAAGTTCACAACTGCAATTGGAAATCCAATGATCAGACACTATACATGGTCTGCAAGCAGCGTCCTTGAATCACCTACCTAACTCAAGCAGAACAAATTTATTCAAAGAAACCTATCTAGCTAGATCTCATGAAATTGATTGAACTCAATCGCAGCTTCTCTTAATGATTAATGTACAACTCAATTTTCGTAGCAGATGTGCAAAACTAGGTAGTATGTCCTCTTACACAACCAGCACAGCGGCGTGCTTCAAAACATGCGAATCAAGAACCTTTGGTGACAAACAACATGTTATCCGACACAGATGTAGCGATGATCTAGGTCGGGATAGAGAGAGGATGGACGAACCTGGGGCGCGTGGGCGCTCGAGGAAGATCTCCTCGGTGGAGACGACGGTGAGGCGCGTGGAGGCGTCGTCGCCGGTGGCGGCGTCGCCGAACTTGGCCCAGGAGCGGCGCTCGACGGCCGCCTTGGAGAGGCGCGTGCGGGCGAGCTTGACGACGCGGGTGGTGGTGGTGACCTTGACCTTGTTGCCGTCGTCGTCAAAGCGGTAGTGGATCGTCTTCTTGAGGCCGTTGGCGTCGGGCCCGACGACGACCGGCGGCGGGAGCAGGAAGTCGAGGTCGCCGCCGTCGTCGTCCTCGTCGAGCTCGCCCCACCGGATCTTCGTCGCCGCCATGGCTGCCGTCGCTGCTGCTTCGCTCGTTCGCCGGCTGGGGTTCAGGGTTCGGGGGCGCGTGCGGCGGCTTGGTAGCGAGCTTGCGAGCTGTGGGACGTGTGGTTCGGATTGGTTGACAGATATATCGTGTGGCGGGGCGTCGGGAGATATATGGACTGCGGGCTGGACTCTACAGCTTGGGACCTTGGTCCGTTCCCGTCTACTTGAGTCGGTTTCTAAACGGGTACCGTGCGTGCCACGGCATGTTCAGAGATCCACCTTTTTGAGACAAAGGGCAAGCGTGAGGGCCACGTACGAGTTTGCTGGGCCTAGCGCACTGGGCCCTTTTAAGCGGCGGTACGAGTTTTGGTGGGCTTGCCCATGTACACGACATGGTCGTTTTGGGCTGTGATGGGAGGCAATAAAAACGCATTGACTCTTTGGCATTTACTCGTTCCGACGAGCTAATCGAACAAACACGGAAGCGCCGATCCGACAGGCCTTTTATAGGGTAACACCAACATAGGAAGTAGGGCCCATCCACATGGGATTAAGGGGGTGTTTGGTTTCAGGGACTTTTTTATGTTGGGACTAAAAAAAGTCCCTAACAAACCAAAGAGGATGGGACTTTTTTGGGACTTTTTGCTAAAAGTCCGTAGAAGCACCTCCTTAAGAGTCTTTTCTAAAAAATCCTAGTGACTAGAAAAAGTTCTAGGACTAGAGAACCAAACACCACCTAAATGAAAACGCTTGCATGCCAACAAAATATACAACTAATCAGTGCCTTGAATTTCAGGAGGGTCACACGAATCTTTCTCTAATGCTATCTAATAACACCGGCTAATCCCCATCCCTGATTTCCTATTTTGTCTGCCTGAAATCAAGCGCTTGGACGATCACGTGCGCAATAGCCAGCCCGAAAAAGGTCATACTCCTCACCTTTTCCTCTGTGGCGGATTAGAAGTATGATATATCGAGTCTAAATTGAAGGTGAAAGTGGTATGGCCGAGAGGTGAAGTGAGGCAAATGTGGCAGCATATGTGTATGTGTTAGCTAGCTAGCAAAGTAAGACGAGAAACATCATTAAAAAAGGCAAGATTGGAACACAATGTTGTACTGTATCATCTTAGTTTGAGATTGTAGACTAAGTTGTTGTTTTTTACCCCTTCTCCTTTCGTTTGCTCCTTCGAGTCTTTGAGCTCATGCTTTTGTAACCTCCTTAAACTCTTGGTTTTGGTTGGAATATAGTTCATGCAGGTGTAAGCCCGGTTGTAGTTCCCCACAAAGAAAAGGCAAGAAAAGTCCTGTCAGGGTCTTAGCGGAACTATTATCACACATGTCATGCATGTGCCACTAAGTCCATACGGTGACGATCATAGCAAAAGCGGATCACGAGATCCCAAACAGGGAGAGCTCGGGCCGAAGTAAGACAAAAGAAGCTGAGGTTGAGTGGATTGTGTTTGTGGACCATGGGGGCCCACTTGCAGTTGTGAGTATGTGGGGTTTAAATGGCCAAGAGACGCTCTTATATGGGTTGTCGATAAAATGG